GGCTGGCCCAGAAAGACTCTGCCTTGGGCTATCTAAGGACGTGAGAGTGTCATGTGAACCCACGGAAAGGGGGAGAAACCTGCCTGGGCCTGGCCCAGTGGCAATCTCTAGGGGTTGCTCACCTGTGGTAAATTGGGTTGGTGTTGTTTGCGAACCAGCAGCGACAAGTTTACAGCTCCCGAGTGTAGAAGTGAGGAATTAATGCAGGATGCAGTCCAGTCCTGGTCCTGAACAGCAGGGGACTCAACTGGGAGGGCATAGGAGTCTCTCGTCTGCCATTCCTGGTCAGGGAACCATATGATAAAACTGTGGGAGACTGGTGGTGGCTGAAAAGATAAGAAGCATGAAATATAAATGACCTTTATTTTGAGAATGCAGGGAGAGACACCCCTGAGCCCCTGGGGTGTGGCTTCTCCCCCATGGGGTCAGTGATCTCTCTGTGGAACACGTGGAGTGGAGGCATATTAGTAGCCTAGGTTTGGGGTGGAACCTAAGGGGCATTAGGGATGCACAGGTAGCCCATTGGTATTCTTTTGGCACCATAGAAACTCACAAAATTGAGACAAGCATAACCATCACGTCCCTCACCAACCCTTTGTCAACTTGACACTTAAACCCATCTCCTTACACTATTCTTAATCCCCAAATAAACAGAGTCATAATTCTGCCCACCAGATAAAACTTCTTCCATACAATTGAAAATGCAATAATCCAATCTCCAAAATCTCAGTAGTTCCAATATCTTTCAAACGTCCAAGGCCAAGTCTCTTCTGAGACTCAAGGCAAACTCTTAGCCACAAATTCGGTAAAAATAAACAACAAAGTTACATAATCCCAAGGTAAAATGGCACATGGTAAACATTCTCATCCCAATAGGGAGGAGTAAGGGAGTATAAAAGAGTCGGATCAAAGCAGACCCAATTCTGCAGGGAAAATATTAAGTTTTGCAACTTCACACCTGGCATCTGGGACACATGGTGGTACGACGTGAATTCTGAAGGGCTCAGATAGCCCTACTCTGGGTGCTGCCAGTTGCAGCCTACTTGGTCACTCTTTCAGGTCGGCTCCATTAATGACTATAGCTTTCTTCAGCAGACTTTCCATGTTCCTGAACTCTGTCTTCTTATAGTCTCTACTGCACCTTTGTATGTATTACCACAACTTTATTCACCATCCTTTCAGTGGCTCTTTGCATGGCCTCAGAGCCCTTTCTTTGAAAGATGGGCAGAGGCCTCCCTGAACCTACAACTTTTGCATTCTGCATGATGGTAAGATCAGTGGCTCAGGAATGATTTTCAGATCTGCTACCAGTGTGGGCAGTAACCAGGTTCTCTTGGACCATGGCAGCAGCGTCTTTTGAGGTCCTAGATGGCTGAAAACTATAAAATGATCCCAAGGAGCCAATTCCTTAGACAATCCTTCTTGAGCAGGGGCCCTAGGGACTCTCTTTTCAAGTGAAAAGTTGACATTTTTGAGCCTGTGATGAGTGAGGTCTTGCAGATTCCAGAGATATCCTTTTTACTTGTCCCTGTACCAAGTATCTGGTTTAATTATTATAGTGTTAACACATTCCTGCCAGCTTGAACATTCCTGTTGGCATGCTCATGTCTGTCTCATTGGGCAGCTTGTGGTACAAATGGATCTAATCACTTTTCTTGGTGTTTTTACTCATGGAGATAGCACTGGCGGTTCAAGCCACCTGGCAGTAATACATATAGACTATGGCTCCTTCATGAATATGATCTCTTTACCAGTCATACCTCTTTTGGTCCCAACTTTATACATGCTTCCTTCTGGGACAAAATTTGTCAAATTTTTCTACTCCACTTTTTGCCACAATTCTCATAAAACTGGCTAAAAGTAGCCAGCCATTTGCATGCCACAGCCTGAATGTTGGTTTAAATTCAGTCATAGGATGTGGATGAAATGTAGACAAATTCTTTGGCAGAATAAAACATGCATGGCTTCTAGTCCAGCTTCCAAAGAGTCCATTTTCCTATCTGAAACTCATGAGCCCAGGCTTTTTTGTCTTCATTCCTGTAAGTATTCAGTCTTTTAAATTCTGACCATTGTCATCCATCAAGCACTATGTATGATATCCTAAGGGCTTCTTTAACCTGCATCTCCAAACATTTCCACACTCTTCCCACAAATCAGTTCTAAAGACTTCTGGACTAGATTGTCAGGTATGGTTGCAGCAATGACCCCATTGCCTGGCTCCATGTCAGGAACATAATGGAAGAGTGTTGGGGAGCAAAGCTGCTTGGGTCATGGCAGCCAGAACAGTGACAGGGACTATATAAGGTTCCCAAAGTCAGACATCTGTGATCCACCCACACAAACCTGGAAGTGTGTTCCACCAATCCCCTGGGTGACTTCCAAGCTGGTCGCGTTGACATAATCAAGCTTACTAATTATGCCTCTCTAGGCTTCATATGTTGGAATGTTGAGAACTGTCTATTCATTTCAGATGCTGATTTTTGGGTTGAGTTTTTACATTTTGAGAGTCTCTTCTCTCTCTTTTTTTGAGTTATTTTTGTATATTCTAGATATTAGTTTACTGACTAGTAAGTTATGGGTCTAGGTTCCACCTTTGGCAAGTAGAATCCCAGTGTTGTTACTTCACTTATTGAAGAGGCTGTCTTTCTTCCAGTGAATGAGTTTGGCCCCTTGGTCTAAGATAAGGAAGCTGAGTGTTCTTGGTGTTGTGTATGCATCTTCTTTTCTGTTCCATTGATTTTTGGGTCTGTTTTTTTGCCAATACTGTGCTGTTTTTTTAAATCATGGTAGATTTGTAGTATAACTTCAAATTGGGGATTGTGATGCCCTGCCTTGCCCTTGTACTAAATTGCTTTTGCTATGCTCGGTCTCTTCTGGTTCCAGAGTAATTTTAGGATTACTCTGTCTAGTTTTATGAAGGTTACTATAGGTATTTTGATTTGGCATTATATTAATCTATAGAACTGTTTTGGAAGGATGGCCATTCCACTCTATTGGTTCGCCTATCAAGAACAGGGAGTATCTTTTCATTTTCTAAATTCTGTTCTTTTTCAGAGTACTGTAGTTTTCAATATATAGTTCTTCACTTCCTTTGTTAGATTGATTCCTGCATATCTCATTTTTCTTATGTTACTGTGAAAGGTGTTATTTCCCTAATTCCTCTCTCAGTGAGTTTGTTATTTGTGTACAGAAGTGGTATTTTTTTTGAACGCTGACTTTGTATCCTTCTATGCTGTAAACCTGATTTTTCCAGTAGTTTTTTGGTGGAGTTTTTGGAGTCTTCTATGTATAGAGTATCATGTCATTAGTAAATAATGATAATTTAACTTCTTTTCCGATTTTTATTCCTTTTATTTTTCCTATTTAAAAGGTCTGGTTAATGTTTTCAGACTATATTGACTAAGTGTGGTGACTGTGAGCATCTATTGGGTAGATGAGTTATTTAGAATTTTTCTTATCTTCTTGGTTTAGCTGTGGTAATTTATATTTATTTAGAAATCTGCCCACTTTTTCTGTGTTTTCCATCTTATTAGAGTATAATTTCTCAAAGTGGTTATTGATGATCTTCTGGGTTTCTGTGGGATCTTTTATGGTTTCATCTTTGTATTCTTAATTGCCTGTATTTGAGTCTTTTCTTTTTTGAATAAGGTTGACTAAGGGTTTATCAGTTTTATTTAACCTTTCATAGAACTAACTTTGATTCATTGATTATTTGTATTGTTTTCTTAATGCCAATTGCACTAATTTTTGCTCTGTTTTTTTATAACTTCCTTTCTTGTATATGCTTCGGGTTTAACTTGCTCTTCTTTTTCTAGAAGCTTGAGGTTCAACATTAGATTATCTTTTTAAATGAAGTTTATTGGTACATCGTAGATACACATAATGATCATATTCATCAAAGGGAACTTGTACCTGCACATGGCATATTTTGATTTCCTTGTTTCCCAATCCCCTCTCCTCCCTTCAGCTCCTCTTCATTTCTCTATTTACACAGCTTTGTTTCTATTTTATCCCTTTTAACTCATTTTTTTCTCTTTTTTCCTTTTCCCTTCCCCCACCTAGTTTTTCTTTCATTTTTTTTCTTTTATGGAAAAAAGTAAAATAAAATTTCATAACAAAATAATAGGAGAATAACAATAATATATTGAATATTTTTATCTTTAAAGTAGTTAATCAGAGTACAAGATACAGGCATAAAAATTCTCCAAATGATATTAGCACCAACCTTTCTTTTCAACAAACTAGTAGTATAAGTAGCGTTTTGTTTTTTCCTGTTCCCCTCCCTCCCTTCCCCTTCCCCTCATCCTAGCTCCTCTTTCCCTTTGAACAATTTCTTCCCATCTCACAATACCTGTTGTACATTTCGGTCCTTATTGGTTCTTTCAGTTTCTCACACTATGCAACAATTACTTGTTCTTTAATAAGTGCTGAAATTAGAAATGAACTAAGCTATTTTCTACTTTGTTGTACTGAGATCGTACAATTTTCACAGTGTGAAAAGCATAAGTACTATATTTAGAAAATAAGACAGAGGGCCGGGGACATAGCCCAGTGGTACGGCGCCTGCCTGGCAGGCGTGAGGGCATGAGTTTGATCCCTGGCACAAAAAAAGAAAGGAAGACTGATTTTACAAGCCAAAAACAGTGACATGGAGGAAGGGGCTTTAATATTGGTCATAGAAAAACATCAGGTATTAGACAACAATAAATCATGGTTCTAAACAAAGAAAACTGGCATTTGAACTAATGGAATTTGCCAATTACTCCCCAAACTGGAATTATTTTTGGTGGAGATCATAACGCTGAATCCCAACACTCTAGCATTTCTGATGACTCTGAAACTTGTAAATTTCTGGAATATTCACTGTTTCTGTCTTCACCTTCACCTTTTAAGTTTTACTCTTAAGATCTTTGTGAGCTTGAATTTTCTGTGCAATAATGAATAGTTTGTTTTCTCAGTCTGCTGTGCCACGCAGTTATATTGCTTTTGTCTTCCTTTAGCTATCTGACTTCTGCAAGGTCTCCAACTTGGGTTGATTAAAGATGCTGTCACGGTCCGGCCCTGCCTGTCGCCTCTCCCGCCCGGGGACCACACTACTACTGCTGCTGGCCGGAAGGAGAGGGCCCAGCCCAGCAGAGGGGCCTCAGGTCTGCCCGCTGCCTCCTCTGGCTAAGGAGCACACCACAGCTGCTGGCTGGAAGGAGGGAGCTGGGCCGAGCTGCTGAAACTTGCTCTGACCTCGCCTGTGACCTTCTTATGATCTGGAGAGCACCAGCACTCCTGCCACTGCCTGGAGGAAGGAGCAGTCCTGCTGAGCAGGTTTGAGGCCTACTTAGACCATAAAGGAACCTTCTATAAGCCTGGGGAGTTTTGCCATCCAAAGAGCTGGAATGTTACAAAACATCCAATCCCTGGGAGTTTATGAGATCCTTGCTCTAGGGGGTTGGGGGCCCACTGGGCTTGCAGCCACACTATACTGGGCTTAACGGATTTGGGACTGCCTGGACCACACCAGGTGGCCTTCTATCCCTCAGGGGAGCTTTGCTACCAGAAGGGGAAGCTGTGCAGATTGAGGAGGCTTTAGGTCTACCTGAGAGGAGCCTGGCAAGCCTCTTTTAATCCAGGGGCTCTGCTGCCCAAGGAGGGAGCTACTACCAGAGGAGTCCCAAGAGCCCAGGACATAAGAGTCAATTTACAACACGACCAGGGGAAATTCTGGAACAACACTTGAAACATAGGAATATAGGAAAATGACAAAACAAAAGACCAAAATGCAATCTCAAACATCCAACCCATCCCAAGAAAGCCTAGGAGCCATGTACATAGAAGAAAATACATGCCATATACCTGAAATACCTGAAACAATAGTAACCAAAATAAAGAAGCAGCTCCGGGAAGCTTTAAAGGAATTCAAACTAGAAATAATCTATCAGGTAAAAGAAGAAATAATAAAAGAAATGAAGGAGATCCTGAACATATCTAAAGAAGACACAGCTAAAACATTGGAGGAACTAAACAAAAGGATAGAATCTCTGGATGAACAATATAAGAAACAAACAGAATATACAAAACAGATGCAAAGAGATATACAGGAAATCAAGAACTCCATTGAAAGTTATAAAAACCGCCTGAAAGAATGCGAAGATAGAATTTTGGACCTCAAAGACAAGATTGCAGCCAGTGAACAGGAAAGGAAAGATCTTTTAAAAATAACAAGAAATCAAGAAATAACAATTCAACACCTGCAAGATGACGCAAAGAAAAACAACATAAGGTTGATAGGGATAAATGAAAAAAAAAAGGAGACAATACAAAGGATGTCAAGAGGATATTTAGAGAAGTAATTGCTGAAAACTTCCCAAACATGAAATTGGAAACTGATATCAGGATCAATGAGGCATATAGAACTTCAAATAGCCATAACTAAAATAAAACTACACCCAGACATATAATAATCACCATTCCAGAAATCGAACAAATGAATAGAATATTAAAAGCTGTCAGAGAAAAAAGACAGATCACCAATAAAGGAAAACCTATTAGAATCACAGCAGACTTCTCAACACAAACAATAAAGACAAGAAGAGCATGGAGTGAAGTATTTCAGACCCTAAAGGAAAATGATTTCCAACCTAGACTGATGTACCCTGCAAAACTGTCCTTCAAAATTGATGGAGAAATAGGATACTTCCACGACAAAGAACAGCTAAAGAAATTCATGATCACCAAGCCAATCCTGCAAAGAATACTGCAAGATAGTCTAGATACACTTTAGAAAAAACCACTTAACAAAGCAGACAATTAAATAGAACAGAAAGATAAAGATGCAATAGCAGAAATATAACATGTCACCAATAAACCAATATATAACAGTTATAACCATCAATGTAAATGGTCTCAATGCACTAATTAAAAGAAATAGACTGGCAGAAGGGATCAAGAAACAAAATCCAACCATATGCTGTCTACAAGAAACCCATCTAACCCAAAAGGATACTCACAGACTGAAAGTCAAAGAATGGGAAACAATACTTCATGCAACAGGAACCCCCAAAAAAGCAGGGGTAGCTATTCTGTTTGCAGACAATGTGAACTTCAAACCAAGAATGATCAGAAGAGATAAAGCCAGTCACTACATACTGGTTATGGGAAAACTTCAAGAGGAAGAGATAACTATCTTAAATATATATGCACCTAATTCCAAAGCACCCTATTATATAAAACAAGTAATATCAGAAATGAAAAACCAAATTAGCAGTAATACAATTATAACAGGAGATTTTAACATGCCATTGACACCAATGGACAGATCAACAAGACAGAAAATCAGCAAAGAGATAAAAGAACTGAATCACACCTGTGAACAAATGGAATTGATAGACATATACAGAGTATTCCGCCCAACAACAACAGAATACACATTTTTCTCAGCAGTACATGGGTCATTCTCTAAAATAGACCATATATTAGCTCACAAAACATATTTAAACAAATGCAAAAGAGTTGAAATCATCCCCTGCATGTAATCAGATCATAGCGCTATGAAATTAGTAATTAATGATAAAAGATACTGCAAAAATCCCATAAACACATGGAAACTGAATAACACACTCTTGAGTAATAAGTGGGTCACAGAGGAAATTAAAGAGGTAATTAAACAATACCTACAAACAAATGAAAACACAAATACAACTTACCGGAATCTGTGGGATGCAATGAAAGCTGTCCTCAGAGGGAAATTTATTGCACTGAGTTCCCACATCAGGAAAACAGAACAAATACAAATAAATAACTTGATGCTACACCTCAAACAGCTAGAAAAAGAAGAGCAAGTCAAGCCCAAAGCCAAAAGAAGAGAGGAAATAATAAAAATCAGAGCAGAAATCAATACAATAGAGACTAAGAAAACAATCCAAAGAATCAATGAATCAAAGAGTTGGTTCTTTGAAAGAATAAATAAAATTGATAAGCCCCTACCCAACCTTATTAAAAAAAAGGGAAGAAAAACCTCCAACTCGTGCAATAAGGAATGAAAAAGGTGAAATCACTACAGACCCAATAGAAATACAGAAGATCATCAACACCTATATCAAAAACCTCTACTCTCAAAGGTTTGATAACACAGAAGAAATAGACAGATTTCTAGAAGCATATGAAGTACCAAAGCTAGGTCAAGAAGAAGTAAAACTGCTGAATAAACCAATTTCTATTAATGAAATAAAAAATGTAATTAAGTCATTACCTACAAAGAAGAGCCCATTCCCAGATGGATTCACTGAAGAATTCTACAAGAAATACAAAGAAGACCTAATGCCGACACTCCTCAAACTCTTAAATGAAATTGAAAGGGAAGCAATCCTTCCTAAGTCATTCCTGGAAGCAAATATTACTCTAGTACCAAAACCTGAGAAAGACCCAACTGAAAAAGAGAACTACAGACCAATCTCCCTAATGAACACAGATGCAAAGATCCTCAATAAAATATTGGCAAATAGGATGCAGCAAGTCATCAAGAAGATTATACACCATGACCAAGTGGGATTCATTCCAGGAATGCAGGGATGGTTCAGCATACGTAAATCAATAAATGTAATCAACCATATCAATAAAGCCAAAAGTAAGAATCACATGATCATTTCTATAGATGCAGAAAAAGCTTTTGATAAGGTACAACATTCATTTATGATAAGAACCTTACAGAAAATTGGAATAGATGGTCTTTACCTCAACATAATAAAAGCCATCTATGACAAACCAACAGCCAATATCATACTAAATGGCCAAAAATTGAAGGCCTTTACTTTAAAATCAGGCACAAGACAAGGATGTCCCCTGTCACTGCTCCTATTTAATATAGTACTGGAAATACTAGCCAGAGCAATTAGACATGAAAGAAAAATAAAAAGTGCAAAGATAGGAAAAGAAGAAGTTAAATTATCACTATTTGCAGATGATATGATATTCTACATAGAAGACCCCCAAAACTCCATTTAAAGACTCCTAGATATAATAAATAAATTCAGCAATGTGGCTGGATAGAAAATCAATACTCAAAAATCAGTAGCATTCTTATACACTAACAACAAAATCAGAGAGAGAGAAATAAGAGAAGCCACACCCTTCGCACTAGCAAACAAGAAAATAAAATATTTAGGAATTACTCTCACGAAAGAAGTGAAAGACCTATACAGGGAAAATTATAATACATTGAAAAATGAAATTGAAGATGACCTCAGAAAATGGAAAGACATCCCTTGCTCATGGATAGGAAGAACAAACATTGTGAAAATGGCCATTCTCCCAAAACTGTTGTACAGATTCAATGCAATCCCGATAAAAATACCATGAACACACCTCATAGATCTCGAGAAATCACTCCTAAAACTCATCTGGAGTAAGAAGAGACCTAGAATAGCAAGGACAGTTCTAAGCAGCAAAGGCAAGGCAGGAGGCATCACAATCCCTGACTTGAAGTTATACTACAAAGCAACTGTAGTAAAATCAACATGGTACTGGAATCAAAACAGAGCTGAAGACCAATGGAATAGATTAGAAGATACAACCACAACTACAAACACACTCAACCACCTTATCTTTGATAAAGGGGCCAAACAGGTTCACTGGAAGAATGACAGTCTCTTTAATAAATGGTGTTGTAAAAACTGGCTCTCCATATGCCGAAAACTAAAACTAGACCCATGCCTATTACCATGTACTAAAATAAAATCTAAATGGATCAAATATCTAAATATTAAAACAGAAACACTAAATCTATTGGAAGACAAATTGGGTAAAAACCTTGAAGACATAGGGGTAGGTAGAGAATTCATGAACAAGACTCAAATTGCATGGGAAATGCTTCCCACAGTCAATAACTGGGATCACATCTTATTAAAAAGTTTCTGCACATCGAAAGAAATCTGTAACATAATAAAAGAAAACCCACAAACTGGGAAAAAATCCTAGTGAACTGCCCCTCAGACAAAGGACTTCTGTCTATAACATACAAAGAATTAAAAAAAATCAGACCCCCAAAATTCAAAGACCCCATCCAAAAATGGGCATCGGAGATGAATAAACAATTTTCAGATGAAGAAATACAAACAGCAAATAAATATATGAAAAAATGTTCAGCATCATTAGTCATTAGAGAAATGCAAATTAAAACCACAGTGAAATTTCATCTCACTCCTGAAAGAATGGCCAAGATCAAGAAAACCACCAACAACAAATGCTGGAGAGGCTGTGGGGAAAAAGGAACTCTCCTGCACTGTTGGTGGGAGTGTAGACTGGTGCAACCATTGTGGAAGTCAGTCTGGAAATTTCTCAGAAAGCTGGGACTGGAAGCACCATTTGACCCAGCTATTCCACTTCTAGGCATATTCCCAGAAGAACTGAAAGCATCATACCACAGTGATATATGTGCATCCATGTTTATAGCAGCACAATTTGTAATAGCCAGATCTTGGAAACAACCTAAGTTCCATCAACTGAGGAATGGATAAAAAAGTTGTGGTAATTTTATATAATGGAGTACTACTCAGCTATAGAGAATGAACACATTGAGACATTTATAAATAAATGGACGCAGCTTGAGACCATACTCGAAAGTGAAATAAATCAAACTCACCTGTATAAATACCGAATGGTTTCCCTAATGTAAGAAACGATAAGAATTCATGAAAGTACGTGGTAATCATGATTCCCAGTCACACTGGTTTGAAGCCATGTAATGTTTTCACTCATTACTTGGAATAGTTTTAATTTGGGTGGTTTTATTTTATTGTCTGTGATACTACAATAACTATTTTGAAGAAAATAAAAGCGTAATAGCTAGCACTGATTTAATATCATCCTGTTTTGAAGCCCCATCAAGTTGTTGTTCATTTGTTTCCATTGGTTCTAACATGTTTTATTTTATTATATCTTAATGTAGCCGATAGTATAAGCAAGCTTTTTATAGACAAAGAGATAATATAGAAATTGATATTTGGTTTCTGCTAGCTGGTTCTAAATACCCTGCAATAATTTCATTCTCTTGAATGGTCTCACACTGTCTTGATAAATTTGATACTATAGTATATAAAGTTAGACTCAAATATTTCAAGGAAAGAGTCACTATGGTAACTACTATTAATGTCAAGCTATCTGGGGGTGAAACACAATGATGGTTAAATTTTTCGGTTCTGACCGGTATTGTTCTATTGATGTTCTTTTTTTTAAATTTCAGTCTCCCCTGCTTTTTCTTTCCTTTTTAAAAAACATTATTTCTTAGTATCTTTTAACTAAGGGAAAACTAAATTAAAAATAATGCGATAGATTATAGTAATATTTTTGTTTCCCTATTAACCTGATTTGAACCCCTGTATTGTTCTCCACATCTTGTTCTGACTGATTTTATTATATTCTGTTTCGCTTAATAGTATGAAGTTTGAGGGTATAGGCAACCATTTGGAAGGCAACCAGATATTCTATGATGCCCATTATTGTTTGACTATTATCTTCTTTGGAATCCTGTAAGCTCTCCAATGTGGTTCTATTGGTCTTATGTACAGTTTTCTTTTATACCAGCTGATATAGGCTAGTCTTTTTAGGATAACAAGAGGCATAATGGTAACCATTGTTAATCATCTAGTAATCCTTTTTTTTTTTCATTATATACTATGTCCATCCTCCTGATCTAACGACTGTTTTGCTTTGTCACATTGGGTTTTTCTTTGGTCCGTCTTGTTTTGTTTTGTTTTTTTAAAAATCTTTTTTCTTTTCCTCTTTAAAGAAAAAGTTATAAAAACTGTGGAAGTAATGGAAACTAAAATGTGTGATTGTTGGCGTAAAAAAGAGAGGAAGGAAAGTGATCTCAAGCATATAACTGCAAGTATATTTAAATGTGTAAGATAGAGAACCATATTGCTGAGTTTTTCTTGGATCATTGAACAGAACTGACTGCAGTCTCACTGTATTAATGTCCACTTTGTACGCTTTAATTTTGTAATCTGGACAGCTGTTTGTAAGATGACAATATGTGATCTATTAACTGGTGAATTCTTACTGTATATTTTTTCTCTTGAAATTCTGTATTACTTCTAGCCTTTTATTGTTTTGCTTTGTTTAGTTTTGTTTTTCTCTTTAAATAAAAAAAATAAAGACGATGTCAACTAGTTCTGGGGGCTGTTTCCAGGAGAGTGGCACTATCAAACTGCTCGACGTTTTTTGTGTAAAAAAAACAAACAAAGAAAAAGAACGCACGCTTATTCTGTTACTTCCCCTGGAAGTCCAGCAGGGAGAGCTCTGATTTTGGTCTTTTAATTTTCCTAGCTTCTGCAATCCTTTTCATGTTTATATATTTGACATCCTGAATTCTCATTAGCTTTAGCTGTCCCAGAGCTCTTTCTCACTTAATTTCCTTAATAACATAAACCCCACCCTGGAGCTTAACCCGAGTCATTTAAAGTAGAATTCATCTGGGTTTTTTTTTTCAAGAGCTTTGAAAGAGTTTCCTTCCAAAGAGCTTTGAAGAATTTTTTTTTAATGATAGTCATCTGCATAAAGTTTGTAATCTTTCTTTACCTCCAGTCACCCCAGATGTCTTTGAAAGCCAGGCCAGCTTTGCTCTTAGTGTTCTCACCACCAGGACTTAGCTTCCTTGTGAAAAGCCACTGCCGTACTAGCTGGCAGAGTCATGCAGATCTCTGTGCAAAACACTGGTGCCTCAGTGCTTTGTGCCTGTTCACCAGTCCTACCAGAAACAGATCCTTGATTTCGATTAATCTCATGTTATTTCTCTTGGTGTCATCTCGCAAGTGTTGGATCGACTTTTCATGAGCCCTTGCTATTTTAAAGAATTTTTTCATTTGATGACTACTGCTCACATCCTTTAAGCAGAATTATGAGGCCCAGCTACTCCGGTTTCCAATATTCCCTATCACCTCTCTTGCTGAAGCCATGGTTGGTTGCTATACTTCCTCATGCCTGCATTTGTGGTTCTTCCTGAAATAGACAATACTGCTTCCTATCCATGACTATCAAACATGAAAAAACAAAACCATAACTGATATAGTTGCCTGTTTCTAGAAAAGTGCAAATGAGCAAACTCCTCTGCAAAGATGATGCACTTTGCACGTTCACTGAGCAGCGTGTCCTTGTCTGCTATGTAGTCCTCACCCATTGGCATACTGCCCTTATGCAGCCCAGATTTCCATAAGCACCTCTCTGTCCAGCCTGTGTGGGCTCCCTGCCACATTGCTCTGAACTTTATTCTCACAAGTAAGTCAAATAGGCACTACTCCATTTGACACAAGACATAGGATGGGGTTGAACAATGATAATGAAGTGGTTTTCTTGCTGGAGTAAAGGTCTAAACTCTAGATGCCACAGTGCCTGTGGGCCACTGTAATAGACTCTTAACTGGTCCCGATATTTTAGCATTTTAGTGCTACCTGTATTTTCCAGGTTTGTGTCCTATAGCTTATTTTCAGAACTTTCCCACCTCTGTCTCCAGAGTGGTTTTCTGTCACTGTCATGCATGGTGCCCAGATTCTCCTCTTCACTCATACCTGAGTCCCTCCCCCAGCTAACCCCATCTTTTCAAATCATGTCTTTGAAAGAGTTTTGGCCCCGACAGGACACTATGGCCGGTAAAGCCTTAGAGGCAAAACCAAAGAGCTCCATCTTTCTCATCCCTAGAAATTTACCTCTGGCACCAAGAGAATACCAATGGGCTGCCTATGCATCCCTAATGCCCCTTAGGTTCCACCCCAAGCTGAGGCTACTTATGTGCCTCACTCCACATGTTCCATGGAGAGATTGCCGACCCTGGGTGGAGATACCGTGGCCTGTGGGGTTGGGGGTGTCTCTCCCCACATTCTCAAAATAAAGGTCATTTATATTTCATACTTTTTATCTTTTCAGCCACTGCCACAATTCTATCAGTCTTCTTCTGCCATGATTCTCTCCGCCTTCATGTGTTTCCACCTTAGAGACCCAGCATCTCTCTGCTGTCCACTTTTGGGAACATGGAAATCATCTTACACGGTACCCTGGGTGTTTCCCAGGAAAGTGTGATAGCTCGGATCCCAGAATAAAACCCACGGAAGCAAGAAATTAAAATTTGGGAAGCAAAGGTTTTATTTTAGGCTAGGCTTGGCGACTCAATTCCTGGGAGCCAATTTGGAGACTGCGCACCTCACAGCTGAGGAATTAACCTTTTAAAGCTAAAAACCACAGGAATGTTGTAATCGCTGACACAGTTAGGTAGCATCTGGGCCTTACAGAATTTCCTGTAATTTCCTTGAAGTTAAGCATTTCTTAAAGAACAGCACATTTTATTACAGATAGCTGGATGAGGGGTAGGGAAGGGGGTTACAGGAAACTGATACCTAAGGCTTTTACAGCTTTCTCAGGAAATTGAAACTTAACCTAGAAAGATAGGAAGGGAAGCGGGGGGGGGGGGCTGAGTGGCACATACAAAACAGAAATGAGGCGCAATGGTTATAACTAGGCTATAACATTCCCCTCTGATGTTGTGACTGAGGTCAAATCTTTAACCTAACTTTTAAGGATTTTGAGGTATAGCTCGTAGGTGTGCTGGCATAACATCATCAACTTTATGCCTTGCATTTGTTGTCTGACATATGTAGTTATTCTATTGAGTATATAAGGACCTGCTGTGACCAGGAGCAGTACCCCTAACAATGGTCCAAGCAAGGGCAGGAGATAGGGCAGGATTCCATTCCAGACACTCCATAAAGGGTTTTCAAATAGCTCTCTCCTCCTTTTAACTAGGTCTCCCTGGAGTCTCTTGATTTTATCTCTGACAATGCTGGACTTATTTACATAAAAGCAGCATCATTCCTGCAATGCTGCACAGATTCCTCCTTGTTCTGCCTTAGGAGGTCTAGTCCCCTTCTGTTTTGGAGAACTACTCAGCCAAAGAGTCTATTTGGTCTTGAATGACCTGAATGGTACTAGATAATGCCTGCACATCACTAACAATCTGGTTGGAAAGTTGTACAGAAACCCCTACTCCTGCTGCCCCCTTACCTAAGGCTCCTGATATTCTTAGGCCTACCAATAAAGGGATAAATTGAATTGCCCTCTTTGAGCAGTCTGTAATGTAATCTAAACTAGGAATTGGGACAGGCTCATCCCTGGGTAAGATCTCTATATCAGGCAACAGGACAGCTGTTACACATATCCCTGTCCAGTTAGTTGGGAGGAAAGTATAGGCCATATTTCCTCCACAAATAAATACTTGCCCTTCAGCAGGATAAAGGGAGGTTGTCTGGTTAACTATGGAACTACAATTAGTAAATTCAATGTTGGAGATATTGTCATGAAAATCTCCTTGGAGACAGAGAGAGTCCTTGGAGCCTAATGGTTGTACTCTAGAGGGGGGACCAGCACTACAATTTAAGTAATCTTGTTTCTCCAGTGTAGTCAGAGAAACATCGGTGGGGATCAAAAGGGGCATGGGGGTGCCCTGTGCCATGTACTGGTTAGCAATCTTCAGCCAAAGTTGGGTTGGAAGCATTTAAGACTTTATGAGTGGCCTCTAGAATATCAGAAGTTTGAGCATCCAGATCAACTCCCCATGATTTAGGCAGCATCAAGGGGTGATAATGTATGTGGGGAAACATTATTTTTATTAGCTGCTTGACTCATTCCTCAACCATGAGTTCTCTGATGTAATCTTGTGGGCCGCCCCCATCAGACACACGTATAGGGGCCACCCTGTTCCAGCACACTGATTTACCAACCGTGCTGAGACATGAGGCTTGGGCATACTTTGAACTTCCTATTACTGTCGGATTGGTGGACCAATCACCTCTAACTCTTCCAGCCTGTGTCCTCATAAGCTCAGCAGTGAAGTAAGGTTTGCTACTTATGCCTATACATTCTTGTACAGAGTCATAGCAGGAGGAATGCATTTCTGAATACTAAGAACAATTCTGAGGGCATGGTCCTGGCTGGCTGTCTTTTTGTTAGGTATCACGCAGGGCTTTAACATATACATCCACCTGTAACTGAGGGTATAGCAACAAGGAATGTTAACTTGTCCCCACAATCTGTCTGAAGACTGTATGTATATAATTTATCATTTGTGTGGGAAGGATCTAGATCCTTGTTTCCTACTGTATGTATAATTCCCCCCGAGTTGGTGTCTTTACCTTTAGTAATATAGCCCCCTCTGCAATCACAGGGGTTCCCATACAAAGATCTTAACAATTGTTCTCTGCTTACAGGGGGACCAAAGCCGCTGTGCAAGGTCGGCATCAATGTTATTAAAATCAAAGCAAGCAAGCTAAAACAGTTCATGCCTGGCATAATCTAATTATGCTTTAGTCAATTTTAACTTTAAGGGGTTACCAGTCTGCTATACAGTCAATCGAGAACACTCCTTGCTGTCTGTTGCTTCCAGTGGATTGACGTGGGTATGGTGAATCCACACAGTCTTTCCTGCCACCTTGATGGTGGTGGGAGTGCTGAGCACCACGGTCCTTCCCAGAAGGATTTGAGGGAGTCGTGGTGGTGACATCGCACCAAGACTGGAGTCCCTGGCTCGATCAGTGCTTTGAGAGGCATCTCTGAAGGCAGATCTGGGTGTTTTTGTTTAAACAGCTGGTGGATTGAAGTCAACATGGGTTGGAGAGTCTGCAGGGACCTAATGAGATCTTGATTAGTTATTTCAGCTAGTTTATCTTCTGACAATCTTGGAACCAATGGCGGGGGCCTCCTAAACATGGCTTCAAAGGGGGAAATTCCAGAAACAAATGGGGTACATCTAGCTCTTAACAGTGCAAAGGGAAGATGGCTCACCCAATTATCACCAGTTTCCAAGGACAATTTAGCTAAAGTATCCTTAATAGTCTGGTTCATGCGCTCTACTTGCCCTGAACTTTGTGGCTGATAGGCACAGTGGAGTTTTCCAATTAATCTTAAATGCCTGGGCTAACTTTTGGGTGACTCGGGCTATGAAAGCCGGGCCATTATCGGACCCCATTGATAGTGGGAGGCCAAATCAAGGTATGATCTCATGCAATAGCTTTTTAACTACCACTAAGGCTGACACGGACTTAGTAGGGAAAGCCTCTACCCAGCCAGTGAAGGTGTCTACTAATACCAAGAGATAGTGGTGCTCCTGTAAACCAGG